GGGGAAAGGTAATAAGGGAGAGGAAAAAAATATGAGAAACTGAAAAAATGGAAATAAAGTGTTTGTAAATGGGGAGGGGAGGAGGGGGTGAAGGGAGGGCAGGGACAAGGGGAAAAAATGAGAATCAAGACCTATTATGTAAAGGTACAGAATCCCAATGATGAATGTAATTGTATTGTATACCTAGATTGTACCAATAAACTCAATAAAAAGAAAAAAAAAAAAAGAAGAACTAAAAAAAAATCAGCCCCCCCCAAATACAAAGACCCGATTCAAAAATGGGCATCTGAAATGAACAGACATTTTTCAGACAAACAAGTAAAAGCAGCAAAGAAATATATGAAAAAATGTTTAATATCACTGGTCATATGAGAGATGCAGATGAAAGCAACACTGAGATTCCACCTCACCCCAGAAAAGAATGGCTGCTAGCAGGTAATCAAACAATAACAAATGTTGGTGGGGTTTTGGGGAGAAAGGAACCTTTCTCCATTGTTGGTGGGAGTGTAGGCTGATGCAACCACTATGGAAATGAAAATGGAGATATCTCAAAGAACTAGGATTAGAGGTTACATTTGACCCATCTATTCCTCTGCTATCTTCTAAAAGAATTAAAATTATCATATCACAGTGACATATGTGCACCCATGTTTACAGCAGCACAGTTTTTAATAGCTAAAAATGCAAACAGCCCAATTGCCCATCAGTTGGAGTCTGATTAAACAAGATGTGGTTTTTCTATAAAATAGAGTACTAGTCAGCCATAAAAAATGACAAACTAGAGACATTCATAGGAAAATGGATCCATATTGAGACCATACTCTTACGTGAATAAGACACACATGTGTAAATACTGAATAGTTTCTCTAGTGTGCAAAACTAAAAGATCTAAATTGTATAACTGATAATGTGAAGTAGGAAGAAAAGGGCTAAAGCTGTAGGGGAAGTAAGAAGGACAGGGGACAGAAATAAGGGAAAAGAAATATGAGAAAAGGAAAAAATGGAAACAAAGTCTTTGTAAATAGGGAAGGGAAGAGAGGATGAAAGGAGGATAGGGGTATGGGGAAAAAGTGAGAACCTAGATCTGTCATGTAAAGGTACAAGATCCTAATGATGAATTTAACTGTACTGTATACTTAAAAAGTACCAATAAACTCAATAAAAAAGAATAAAATGAAATGAGATGTGAGATCTGTTGTATGTCACAAAACACATTAAGCATGACTTCATTTTTTTGATGAGCACTAGAATGTGATTACACTACTGAGCTCCTTGATGAGGAAAAGGAGATGGAGATGAGGAATTCTGAAAGACAATGAGAGGAGATGTCTAATAAAAACACATTTATCAGGACATAGATTAATAAAAAAATTGGATCTACTTTTTCCACACTCACATCTTGAAACAAAAATTGCATTGTGAATGAAAAATCCCTCTAGATAGGTTTTTGGGCTTGGGTCACCTAATTCAGTGTTAGTGACCCTGAGCAGGCAAGTAAGAATCATGAGACATTACCTTTCTGCCCAGTCATATCCCATGATCTTCAGCATTTGGAACAGTTGTTGAAAATGCTTTCGTTGCCCTTTATCTGCCTTGGAAAGAAAGTATTGAAGATAAAAAGTAGTGGTAAGTTAATATATAAAAATAGGTTGGATACCAATCAAAGTAACAGTTCTGACAGACTAAGGTGACTGTCAATAGGCTTTAAATACAAAAATATAACACGACTAGAAGAAAGTCTTAAGTCGAATGCTTTACAAAAGAGGAAAATAAACGCTGCAGCATGCCACCAGGTAGGAGGATATAAGAGCTCTAGTTTTCTGAGTGCTCTATTTAATTTTTTTTCCAGTTATTATGGTATCTATCTCCAAGAAGATTAAAGTCAAGTTTTAAAATGTTTGATGGCAAGTTTCTTAGTGAACAGGGAGGCTTTATCTGAAAAAGGAAAGGGAAGGAGACTAAAATTTTCTCGGCAATAAAAGGAGCAATACTGACAGAACAGTTTGGACACATTTCAAGGACATTCACTACATTATGTGAAAAAAGCCAATCTTGTAAGGTTGCATATTTTATGAGTCCATCTACTCAACCCTCTCAAAATGATAAATTTGTGATGAAGAACAAAGAGGGTTAGGGTTGAAGGAAAAGTATGATAATACTAAGTGACTGACCACAAGGGAGTCTTGTATGTTATAGAACAGTTCTATCTTCTGAATGTGGTAATGATTACATGAAAATATACGTGATCAAATTTCATCAAAAAAAGTCCACAAGAAAGTATATGCAAAATGAAAAAATTCTGGATACTGTCTATAGAAATGTCGATTTCCTGATACTGACAAAATACTCTAGTTTTATATTATCTTTTGGAGCAGGTGAGTGAAGGTAAATGGAAATACTAATATTTTGAGTCTTAAGATATTCTGAAATAAAAATTCTTTGAAAACATTTCAATTACAGTGATCAGTACACATTAATTTCATATACTCATTATTTTCCTGATTTGGATAATATTTTTTACTGTAAAGCAAATGTGAACCTTATCATTTCTAAAGCTTCATCTTTTTTCATTTTTAAAACTTTTTTAATGGCGAGGGTAGTACCTCACATACACTTAATGGTGAATTCTTTCCTTAGTTTGACAAAAGTACTTTCAAATAGTTTTCCAATATGGTATTCAGTTTTTATTTTTTTTCTCTCATTGAGTTTATTGGTACATTTTAGGTATACAGTACAGTTACATTCATTATTGGGATCTTGTACCTTTACATGACAGGTCTTGGTTCTCATTTTTTCCCCTTGTCCCTGCCCTCCCTTTGCTCCCTCCTTCCCTCCCCATTTACAAATACTTTATTTCCATTTTCTCATATTTTTTTCTTTTCCCTTACCTTTCCCCTACCCTCCCCACTTTCTCTATACCTTTAGCCCTTTTCTTCCTATTTCACATTGTCAATTATATCATTAGGATCTTATGTACTCAGTTTTTATCTCTGCAATCTGTATGAGGTAGGAGTCAAAACTTTTGTTTATTGTGAATACTTACCACATAAATCATTGTATCAAAATTATACCTGTCCATTCGATCTATAGCAGCTGCAAGGTCTCTAAAAAAATGGCATAAATGAAGAGGTATTATACAGATCTGGGAAATAGTTAGTTTTATCTATTTAACAGTAATGATAATTTTCTATTTAAGGACTCCTGTGTTATCCCAAAGCTGGGATTGTATGACCCATGCTTGTATAATCCCAATATATACTCTGATACAAAATAATAGTAACACAGGTAGGTTTGGGAAAAGTAGTAATAATGAAAGCTCTGGGAAACATAATTGAAAACAAAAATATAAAAAACTCTAAGACAAGCAGTCGTGAAAGCTAAAATATTTTAGGCAAGGAATTCTTTAGGTAAATATATAACAATTAAGCTTTTACTGAAAAGAATTACTTGTCACTTTTCTATAATACATTTTCTTAACATAAGTAAAATATAGGTGTTGTAGTACATAAAGAGGCATCTTCTAGCTATTCTTCTATTAATATTATCCAGAACTTTCTAAATCTTGAGCAACTCAGAAGCCACCCCTCTAGTGCATTATAAGAGCTCTTATTTTAATTAGGGGAGGAGGTTTAAACCCAGGGCTTTGGCATGGTATTGCAAGTGCTCTAAAACTGAACTATGTTCCCAGTCCTCTACTGCATTTTAAAAGCCTGTAATGTCCTTAGATAAATATTCAATTTACCTCTTTTATCTCGAATTAAATGCAAAATGCGCAATAGTAAATAGTATGGAACAATGAAAAACCACAACTATGAAAATTTAAGATTTTTAAAACACTGAATTGAAAATTTATAATATATGATCCTGGAAGATCTGAAAAAAATTCTCACATCTTTTGAAATGCTGGAGATCATGAAAATATCATCAGTACCCCATCCTGACACTGCATGGAATGTGCATTCTCAATGGAGGAAAAAACTAGTTTTTGAGGAACAAAAGTATCTTACTATTTATAAGCATAGATATGCATGTGATAATACAATCTATGAAACTTCACAAGGATTATCAATTGAGAAAAATATGACTAAAAAGGTTTCTGAGATGGATTATAATAGTATTAGCAGTAGTTTCAGAAACACTGATATAGAGAAGATTATCACAAAAATGGTACTGCAAATACACAGCCCCATTATATTTTTTGGTTTGAACCAAGCACAGAACAAAAAGAAACTGCTTGAGGCAGTGAAAGAACAAAAGAGAAGGATTTAAGAGACAATTCTAGTTTGAGTTTGTTGAAACTGAATTTGAGAGCTGGAAGCAATGCCAGATCATCTAGTCTAGGTCTCCCATTTCAAAATGCAAGGAACCTGGCTCAGAGTGTAAAGTGATGGCTATGTATCAGAACAAAAATCCACATCTCCAGCCTCACACTTTGTTCTTTTCAGTATGTTCCTGCACTTTTCTGTCTGCTATAACAACTCTAACTCATATCTTCACACACAGCAGATGTATTCCATAAGTAACCCAGTGTAGCAAAGAGACAAGTTATTTTCCTAAAGAAAAAAGAGAAAGTACAGGTACTGATGTAAATACTTAAAAGGTGCACACCTAATTAATAGTCCCTATGATAAGACAGATGACATAGATCAGGATAGCTATAGTCTTTCTGTCATGGAGAATAGGTATTTCTCAAAACTATTGTTCACAGGTTTATCTAACAATTAGCTGGCACACACAACACACACACAAACAATGCATATATAAAATTTCTGTATCTAGGAAAAGAATGGTTCTTATATCCTAACCTTAATTGCATGGACTTCAATAAAGGGAAAGGTCAAAAAGTAATAGTAAGAAATGAATTTCTAAGGGGCAGTTAAAAGACTTGTTTGGTTGTTTAAAGTTGATTCAAGTAAATCATAGTAGTAAATAATAAAAATATAATTACTTTTCTATAAAAGTGTTTTGTGTGGGTAGCTCAGTGGTAGAGTGCTTGTCTTACATGCAATAAGCCCTTGGTTTGATTGTCAGCACTGCAAAATAAGTTTATTACAAAGGACCTAAGTTTTCTAGCTTGCTGTAGAAATCCTAGTATATTAACAAATTGTAAATAGTTTTTCAGTCAATTTCCTGATATTAAACCTTCCAGGACTTTAACTTGCCGTTAGTTATCTAAAGAAACCTGTAAGTACTTTTACAACATGAAGGCAATAAATTTACAATCTGTAACTAAGATTGTTAACTGTTACCAAAAACAGTTTTGAGGATAAAATGACTGTTCTGGCATTTCTTCATGGACAGAGAAAGTGAAATCATATACCCATTCCACATATACCTTCATGGAAGCTACAAACCTTGTTGCATAGAGAGAAGTCCCATCACTTCGCATTACAGTACAAATTGAAGAGGGGTCACCATTCCCAGAGAGATCCACTATAGCAGTTCCTTTTCTAGGAATATGAGAAAGCAACTCTAAAGAAACACAATAAATTAAGACCTTTGGAAGTATATGACATCTATAACATTATCCTTGGCAAATCAGAAGGTATTGCTAACACACCACAAGCAGTGATCAATTCTAGCTATGATCAACCAACAATAGAACAAGAACTACTAAGAAGTAAGACTGAGTTATATGAAAAAGTGGGTAATGCACTTGAGGCGATACTACTAAGTGAAATAAACAGAACACACGTGTAAATAGTGAATAGTTTCTCTAATATGAGAAAATGAAAGTGTAAATAAGGACTAAAGGTATAACAGATAATGTGAAATAGGAAGAAAAGGGGCACAGGGGAAGGGGAAATGGGCAGGATACGGGAAAGAAGGGAATGGAATTAATATGAGAAAATGAAAAATAATGGAAACAAAGTCTTTGTAAGACTTTGTAATCTAAAGGGATTGGAGGGGTTGAAGGGAGGGCAGGGGAATGGGGAAAAAAAAAAGAATCACAACAGATTATGCAAAGGTGCACATTTCCAATGATGAATGTCATTATATTGTATACCTAAAATGTACCAATAAAATTAACTTTAAAAAAAGTGGGTACTAGCCTCCCCTTTTAAAATCTGTAGGACTGGATAGGCTACTCACATAAAATCTTTAATATACCCAATTAAAAAATTAGATCTCAATTGCAGCTTGTCTGTGAAATATCACAAATTTTTTTCTATTGCAAATTGTTATAGCATTCAATATTGGGTTAATTTTTAATGTCACAGAGACTGTGTACAAAAAAAAACTACAACACAGAATTTTATAAGTGTTTTCACTACCTGACCAAAAACTGGAACTTGTATATGACAAAAATTTCCTAAGGACATCATTGAGGATGCTATTAACCGTATTCCATGTCTTCCTTGTAAAGATGATGTAATTGGGTAAGAAAGAGAAATGTAAGGAATCCAAATTTGAAAGGAAAAAGTTAAATTATATTTGTTTTTGCAGGCAGTAAGATCTTATATATGGAAAACCCTACAGAATCCACCAAAAACCAGAATAAAACTAGTAAAGTTGCAGCATACAAAATCAAACAAAAATCAGTAGCATGTCTATATACCAATAATTAAATATCTGAACATGAATTCAAGAAAATAATCCCATTTATAATAGCATCAAAATATTTTAAATACTTAAAAATTTTAGCAAGAAAATAAAAGATCTGTACACTGAAAACTGAAAAATGTAAGAAATGAAGACACAAGATACCAGAAAGATACTTCCTGTGTTCATGGAAGGCTATTATAAAAATGTCCTTACCATCCAAAATGATCTACAAAATCAATACTATGCCTATCAGAAGTCCAACAATTTCACAGAAATAGAAAAAATAGTTCTAAAATTCATATGGAGAGACAATAAGAAAAGGACAACCTCTTCAATAAATATTATCTGGAAAACCAGGTATCTACATGTAGAAGAATGAAACCTTTGCCTTACCCCATATACAAAAATCTACTCAAAATGGATTAAAGATGTATATCGAAAACCTGAAATTGTAAAAGTATTTAATGATAATGCAGAAGAAGCAAAGATTTGTTGGTTATAATTCCCAAAAGCACAATAAGACAACAAAAACAGACAAGTGAGATCACATCAAACTAAAAAGCTCCTGCACAGCAAAGGAAGCAATTAACAAAGTGAAGAGAACAACCTACAGAGTGGGAGAAAATATATGCAAACCATAATACAGGATTAACATCCAGATTATAAGAAATTAAAAATCTCAGTAATAATAACAAGAAACAAATCTGATTTAAAAATTGGCAAAGGATGTATAGATACCGTTCTTAAAAGAGATAGAAAAGGCCAATGGGTACATTAAAAGGTGCTCAACATCACTCACCATCAGGGGCAAACTAAAATCACAGTAATAGCTCTTTATCTGTTAAAATGGCTTTTATCAGGAAAACAAGGGAGGACAAGTGCTGGCAGAGGAAAGGAATCCCTGTATCCTACTGTTAGAAATGTAAACCAGAAGGTGGGTGTGGTGGCTCATGCCTGTAATCCCAGCACTGGGGAAGCTGAGGCAGGAGGATAGCTGTGAGTTCGAGACCAGCTGGGGCTGTATAGTGAGTTCCAAGTCAGTCTCAACTACATAGTGAAACCCTGTCTCAAAATACCGAAAAAAAAAAAAAAAAGGAAAAGAAATATAAACCAGTACAGCCATTATATAGAACATGGAAGTCTTAAAATTTTGTTTTAAAAATAGAATTACAAAACAATTTAGTAACTCCACTTCTGGGTATACATTCAAAGGAAATGAAATCAATATAAGACATTTGCATTGCCATATTCAATGCAAAACTATCCATAATATCCAAGAGATGGAATCAAGCCAGAGTCCATCAACAGATAACAGATTTTAAAAATGTGATCTATATACATCACTGAATACTACTCAGCCATATAAATCCTGCCATTTGTCACAATATGGATGAACCCAGAGGACATCATGCTCAGAGTGACAAGGCAGGCACAGAAAAACAAATACTGCATGATCTTACTTACACATGAAATACAAAAGAACTGAAGCCAGAAACAGAGAGCAGACTGGTGGTTACAAGGGACAGGAAATAGGGTAATAGCAATTCCTTTGCTGTGCAGTTAAACAGGAAGAGTGAGTTCTAGAGAAATCTGTACAGCATGGTAATTATAATTAATAATGTATAGTACAAATGAAAATTGTAGGAGAGATTTTTAAAGTTCTTATCAAAACAAAGTATATGATTTTTAGATAGTTAATTCTCATCACAGCTAAGTATGTTAATTAGCTTGACTTAGATGTGTGTATATATATCTCAAAACATCATAATGTATATCACAAATATATACATTTTTGTCATTTGTCAAAAATATTTTTTAAAAGGAAAGAATTCTACCATAATACAAGGTAACCGAATCCCAGTAGGAACACAATAACATCTCTGATCTTTTATTATTTTTCTGTCTCTACTTTCTGATTTTCTCACTTCACTCTTCCAAAATGCTATATATATAGCATTAAATATTAATTGAAAAGGATGAGTTGTTTTGTTTAGGGTAAGTTTTTTCTTTTTCAATTTATGCCTTATCAGTTCCTCCCAATCTTACTAGGCTTTTGCTGTGCCAGCAAAACACAGTGTGTGGGAAATTGCTCTGAATAGCAAAAATGTACTATAAAAAATGCTAAAAAGGCTGCACGCCACATTCTGTTGCCCTTATTGAAGGGGTACATCAATACCAATTTTCTAAGAGGACATAACTTTACTGAAGAATAGTACTGATCATACATTGTTTTTTGTAGTAGTCCTTTACCGTCCAGCAACTTTAAGACTTCTTGAGATTTTTCACGATAAAATGATTCTCCCGAATATTCATCAAAGTATATTCCTAGACGCTAAAAGGGTTCAGAAACAAAAGGAACAAAATATTAGTTAAATCTCCAATAATCCCACCTTAAGACAAAATTAAGGATACTTTACCATCTGTCACACAGACCGGGAAAATAAAAGCTAGATCAAGTCACTCCTGTGCTCAAACCATCCAATGATTCACAACACACTGGTCAAGTCCTTACAATGGTACTGTGCTGTTCAATATGGTAGTCACAAGGTACACGTGGCTACTTAAACTAGAATCAAACGAAATTGAGAATTTAGTTCCTCCTCATACTATTCACACTTCAAGGGCTCAATAGCTACATGTGGTTAGTGCCTGCTATGACAGAAAAAGACAGAATTTTCTTTCTTTCTTTTCTTTTTTCTTAGTTTTTTGAGACAGGGTCTCACTATGTAGTTGAGACTGACCTGGAACTCACTATGTAGCCCATGCTCGTTCAAACTCACAGCAATCCTCCTGCCTCAGCCTCCTAAGTGCTGGGATTATAGGCGTGCACCACCACGTCCAGCTTCAGAATTTTCCTATCATAGTAGAAAGATACACTGGGTAGCCTTGGAGAATGGCCTACATCATGCCCCACATTACAACCTTTTCAACTTCTTTCCTACCACTTTTTATCTTATTTACATACTGCAGTTACATGGCTTCTTTACCAAAACTCCTCGTGCCACTTATGTAACATACCTGATTGATCTTACCATCTAGCACCATCTAACATACTATAGATGTTTCTTGCTTGCTCTATCATTAACTTGTTTCATTTGCTCTTTCTCCATTCTAGAATGTAAGGTCCACGAGAGCAAACTTTTTTCTTTTGTTCACTGTTCAATACAGTATATCCCTTAGCAAACGTTTATTAAATGAGTGAATTTATACCCATCATACACAGGCCTAAGGAAATGAAAGAAAAAATAAGTAAGAAGAAGTAAAGGAACACGAGAAGAGAGGAAACAAAAGCCAGACTGACAAGACATATTAGAATGTCATCTGACATTGCTTAGTCTCTTATTTTCAACTTAATCAGAAATCAATTCTTAAATATCAACCTAAGCAGCAGCTTTACTAAGCAGCAGCACCAGGGAGAGCTACACATCACAGGAAAGCACAAGGATCTATGTTTACCTTGTAAATTTGACTGTACTCTTCAATGCTCAAGTCTCGAAATCTTTGCCACAGTGAAAGCGCTTGCATGTCACCCATCTCCAGTCGCTGGAAGAACTCATGTGCCAATTTTGCTATATTTTTATCATCTGCTGCTTCTTTATTAACTTGCACATAAACCTAAAAATATAGCAGGAAATGAAACAAGATATCACTATTATCTCTACTGAAAAGGAAAAAAGCATAATTCTGAGAATTCTCAGTTAAAAGACCCCATCATAGAGACCCCCATCTCAGTCGGGCCTCTTTGCCTTCTTTTTTGGCCGTATGTCCTTGGTGAAGCTTAGACTCACACTCAAAATGTTTCTAAATGTATAGAATACATAAAATTATAAAGGAAACAATTACATTAAGGTACACTTAACCAGACTTTTAAATAAATTATAACAGTAATGGAAGAAAATGCTCAATTTTTGCTAGAGGTTAGAAAAATAAAGTACTGTACAACTTTCCCTTCCCATCCAAGTCCACAGACCTCTGACTTAGACTAAGCTGGCATTTGCCGTGTTATTATTCCTGAAACTTGTCTGAGAAAGGATGAAGAAATTAGGATGGTTCAACCTGAGAAAAGGCCGAGGGAAGATTTAGCAGTTGTTTTACTAAAAGATGGTTAAACTGTTCTCCGAATCTGTTAAAGACCAGTGAAATAGGTGATCACAGTAAAAAATAAAGACTTTTTGGGCAGTCTGATAACATTCCAACTTGCACACCTATGTGAACTGTGCAGCACCCACTTCTAGAGTACTGTATCACCTTCTGTCCTGTCTGGTTTTAGTTCTACATCCACCCACTGATTGTTGTAGGGATGAGAGGTTATTAAGGGCTTACTTGTAATGCAATTTTAAATCATTTTCAAGTCTAAAATATAGTGACATTAAAGTACTAATATTACAATTCGATTCCCACAAGGACTACAAAGATTTTATAAGTTGTAACTCACTTTCAGGCTGAAACATGAATGACAAATTATTGTATTACTTCCAGGAAGCTAAAGTAGCATGAAAGCAACAGGAATAAGTAACTAATCTACAAAAATAAATAAATGAATAAGGCTTCTAAACTCAAAACAGTATTATAAAAACATCATGGTAACAGATGATTTTATCATCAGAGATTATACAGTAGCTTATAAACACTAGGTACTCTCAGCAGAAGGGACAAGGTCTAACTCAAGGTAAAAAATGTTTCACTTTTCACAGATGATGTTAATTATTTGAATGGCAGACTCAGAGGAATAAATGCCGCTAAATAAAGGTTAAAATTACGTAATTTTTCTCTATATCATATTGTGGAAAAGAGCCCAACCATCATGCCTGAGACGCTACCTTTAAAATATACTGCTTTGGGCCAGGGATTTAGCTCAGTGGTTTCTGTCAATAGGGAAGGATGGAGGGGGTGAGGGGAGGGCAGGGACAAGGGGAAAAAATGCGAACCAAGACCTGTCATGTAAAGGTACAAGATCCCAATGATGAATGTAACTGTACTGTATACCGAAAATGTACCAATAAGCTTATTGAAAACTAAATTACACACACACACACACACACACACACACACACATACATATATATATAGACTGCTTTGCAAGATTGTACACTGGTTAGCTTGTGGAAACCTGGACTTTGAGAATGTTTTACCAACCTCAAAAAAGTGACTCACTGCCCCTGAACTGTTTTGTGTTGAATGCCTGTTTTCCTTCTGGGAGTTCAGAATTTGGCACATTCTAGGGAGAGAGCTCCTATATGACCAGCGCCCAATAAAAGTCTTGCACATGGACTCTGGTAGATTATATTTCACATGTGTTGTCACAATTTGTTTCTGAAAGAATCAAGTACAATCTGTGATTCTACTTGGGAAAGGACTCATGGAAGCTTGAATGTGGTTTCCTCTGAACTTTATTCCATTTACCTTTTCCCTTTGGTGATTGTGTTTTGCATTCTTTCCCTGCCCTAAATCACAGCCTGGAGTAAGACTACATGCTGAGGGCTGTGAGTACCCCAGCTGAATTAATGAAATGTCAAGGTGATCTTGGGATCACCTTTTGATATCCAAAAAAATTAATCTCCATGTTGTCTACTAGTTAAACCAAGAATAATGTATAGAATGCTAATTCAAAGACAGAAGATCTCTACAAGGTGTGGGAAAACAGAGATAATGAATTGAAGACTTCCTGACTTTTAAATGATCAACTCACTGACAACTACCTAATGATTTAGCCTACCAAGTAGACATTTTCATAAATAGTTTGAGATTCTTATTTCTCACAGACACATACACAAAGGTGTACATATATAATTTATAAGCAAACATATACAAAATGTCCTTATTTTCAGAAGTGGAAGGAATTCTATTAAAAAAAAAAAATCTATCACTCTAAGCCCAGTTGAACACTTAAAAAATTACTATGAATTCAAGCTACTGATACATTCTTAGAAAAACTCACCACAATCTTTTTTCTTTCTTAAAACTTAGAAAGATTAAAAAAACAAAAACAAAAACAAACAACCTCTTCCTAATACTTGAAGAATTTTGGAATTTAAGGAATTTGCAATTATAACAACAAACATTAAAAATCAGATGACATTATCAAACAGAAGAGCCTTAATAAGTACATAATAATTTGGCTATAAATGAACAAAATAAAACTATAATTATCTCATTACCATTTTAGGAACTTTACTTTCATACATATATATATTCAATACTATGAACTTCTGAAATTATGAGCAGTTTTAATTTACAGTTCCTGTGAACATTTTATCCTTGCAAAGAATGAATTTTGGAAATAATTTCTATTTAAGCCTAGATTTAGACACCAAGGAACAAATGGAAAATTTAAAGTCTGGGTTTGATAATAATGTGGCTTAGAATATACTGTTTTTTGAGGATGGAAATATAATTTTTTTTTTTTAGCTATTACAATGTAAAAATTGGTTGTAAATGTCTTAAATTTCCTTCAGGAATATAATTCTGTTTTCACTATTTCTACAGGTTGGGATTGCCAAGAAACATGTGACATTTTATTTCAAATTCAACTAATTAAGATAATTATAGCCAGCTCTTACAATGACCTGCCCAAATGTAAAGAATTAAGTACAAAAATTAAGAATTGGAAAACACCTTCCCCAGTCCTTTAAATTTGATACTAGAATACCATTAGCCACATGGACATAGTTTAAGTTTTTATTCTGGGATTCTAACCCCACCCTCTTACTACTCTTAGCAGTATTGAGAGCAACTGCTAAGAATGATTAGCATAACTTGGATACCATAGATCCTTTTATCTATATCTTTTATCGGTCCTGTTTCTCAAAATGCATTTAATTTAAAAAGAACAAGTAACATTGTTTAATGTTGTTTTGAGCCTTCAACAGAAATTTCATAGAGAACTTCTGGTTGAAACAGATTTAATGCTAAATGAAATACTAAAGAAATTCAGAGAAACTTTTATAGTTAAATTTAATATATCAATATTGCAAATAGCTAAAAGTCAAAATCTGCTAGATAAAAAAATAATTTGAACTAAATTCATTAGTTATTAAATTTCTCTTTAATACTTCATTATTATAGGAAGACTATTTTCTTTGAAGACTACTGTTTCTTTGTTGTTGTTCTTGCTTTGCAGTACTGGGAATTGAACCCAGGGCTTTGTGCTTGCCAGGCAAGAGCTTTATCCCTAAGCTACAATCCCAGCATTATGAAGACTATTTTCGCCCCCATTTATGTTCAATGTTTGGAATCTCTTATTTTTATTTGCTGTGCAAAATCATACCCATGATGCCTTCTATCTTTGTTCAAAGATAATTATTAAATTCCTATACATAAATGTGCCCTAGTGCCTACTAAACATATTATTTCTCAGATTCAAAGAAAAAGATTTTGCACATTTCAATGGGATGAGAGATACTGCTTAAACAGGTATTTACTATTAATTTATAATCTGTCTTTGCTAGGATGTCTATCCTTATTTTACGTAGATGACTCACAGAACAGAAAATGCAGTGTTGTTCCAGGAAGCAGAGGTAGAGTAGAAAGTAGAAAGGCATGCAGCTTCAGGGAGAAAGCCAGGACAGAGGAAAAGAGAACTGCCTAGACCAGGCAAGGGAGAGGGAGCACTCCCAGGAGCAGCAAAAGCTGGGCAGTGCTGGGGTAGTGGCAAGCCTGCAGAGGGAAATGACTCCCTGTGTGCCTATGAATGCAGGCTGGCCTCCAAGCCTATAGAACTGGGCTAGAGCAAAGACCTCTAGGGTGTATCTGGCCACACAAGCAGAGCTGTGTGACTCCAAAGCATCGAGTAGACTGGGATACTAAGTATTTCAAACTCCAGTGTAGACTGAAAACGCATCTATGATTGTCATGGGGTGCATATACATAACAGTCCTCAGAACTTCGTGTGACCTGGACGTCGGGGAATCCCTAACAATAACTTAAATTGACTCTTAACATTATCAAAAGTGATAGTTGAGCTCAGTTTTAATTAGATTAATAATTTAAGAGCCACTCTGCAGGCTAAATATTAAGGAGCAAAATTCACACTTCCTCTAACAACAGCACTCACTAAAAAAAGAAATGTGCCCTAAATGATAACTATTGAACACAATTTTTTAATAAAATAATTTCTAACAGCGCATGTATTTCTATGTATGACTAGAATCAATGTAGTAATGAAAACTGTTTTGAAACTCTTATGTCTGGAAGAACATTGTGCCTTGAAGAATAAATTCTCCCATTTTTTAAAGTGAGAGGGTAGTACAGAATTCAGGGCACTCTACCCCTAAGCTATATCCTGAGTCCCTTTTAAAGTTTTACGACACAGGCCTCCTAAGTTGCCTATGTTGGCTTCACACTTGTGATCCTGGTGCCCCAGGTTTCCAAATAGCTGAGTTGACAGGCTACTCTACTACATCTGGCTTTGTTTTGTTTTTGCTATTGGTACAGGGAATTCAGAATCAAATACATTATTATTAATTTTTATCTTCTAGCATTCTATTTCTTTGATTAAATATCCTTCACTGCAATTACTTCAAATCCTTTTTGAAAGGGGCAGGCAGGGTAGATATAATGAAATATAATGTAGGTCATTTTGAACTAAATAAAAACTTTACATGTACTATTTGTGTTATTTTATCTCTATAAATGCCAGCACCAAAATACCAAACTAATGCATACAGTACTTATCGCCTTTGAGAAGCTTCCCTTATATTTCAGATTTTTCTATCAAAATGTAAATAAGTAAGCAATATGCAATGATTCAAGTCCTAGTCTTCCATAACAAACAATGATACAAACAAATGACTATATATTCTTTTTTTTGATGCCAGGGATTGAACTCAGGTCCTTGCGCTTGCAAGACAAGCAGAGGAACCACTGAGATAAATCCCTGGCCCATGACTACATATTCTTAAAGGCACCATATGAGATCCTGTCAAGGTCTATTCAAAGTGTTTAAATCAGGAGCAGAGAAATTAATTTAAAAAAGTATTGAAAGAGGAAATGACATCCATAGATTCATAATTTAGATTTAATACTTAATTGTTTATCATAAGAAACTACTTTTCAGTATAAATGGAAAGGCTTTTTGGTAAGTTTTTATTACAATGTCTTCTTTGAATCACCAGGGTCAACTGTAAAGAGCAAATATATTAGTTATTTATAATCGGCCAATTCAAGAGGGATGAAGGAAATATTACAAAGGTATACACCTATCTCCTGACAGAAACATACAAATTAGAACAATTAAAGAGAAGGTTTCAGTCAGATGTGATACACAGCTGCACTCTGGGAGGCCGAGCAGAGGATCTTAAGTTTAAGCTCAGGCTGGGCAACTCAGTAAGACACTGTCTTAAAATAAAAAAATAAAAAGAGATATTGTCCAATAAAGTCCTAACTCCCTACACAACACAGACTGATGTAACGGGAAAGAATGGACTACAGGTACACAGAAAAATTAGTAGCAAAGCACCAGTACCAAAATGGAAATAAAAATAACTGTGGGTGTTAAATATTTTCATCACAGAAAAGAAATACTAAAATGACCACATAATACCACTGTCTAACTTAGATGAGAAATTTAACAGTTCAAGATGCTGATGATGGTGAAATTCAGAAGAAGATAAAACACCAAATATGATAGGCCATTGGCCGAAGTCAAATTCAATGCAAATTTGCCAAAAAGTCAAAACTGCTAAAGCTGAACTACTAAATTATGTCCCTGGAACAGCACTGGGGCAATGAAAGAAAGAAAACTATGTTCATAACTACAGCTCATGAAAGGCAACTCCAATGCTGGGGTTGGGGGGCAGATAGTACAGAAATTCTGGGACTGGTCCTTGGGCTTTTGGTGAAAAGTTAGTAAATAAGAGTCTAATAAATGGTAATTAGTATATTGTACAATAGTTTGTCCTTCCCTGCACTAAGAGTAGGTTTCATATTGTACAATTTAGAAGCAGAAAATGGAGCAAAAGAACTACAACTAAAAGATCACATTCATTCAAACCTTTATTATTGCAAGGCCTAGTGACAGGGATGGAAAAAAAAAATCAGGAAAACATGGTTTTTTCTTTCAAAGAGCTCATAACTAACTACAATGTAACAGGGAAGAAAGAGGGATTTGACCAGAGCTTTCAGAAGATTTTCACAAATAAGAAAGAGTAAATGCAAATTGTTCTAAACATTTTACTTCCCATCAGCTAGTGCCAAAATTATCTACTAATACACTAAATATCAAGATTAGAATTATTACCACTGACTCTGAAAATCTGAAATGAAGTTGGAGATTCTTTGTATTACTGTTACTGGAGTTTGGTATTCCAACAGTGTAGAGGAGAAGGTTACACTGGGGCATGGTTTGGAATAGGAACTGCAGAAGTTGAAGGCAGCAAATAGTCTTGAGAACAATCCAGTAACATTCTGGGAACAATCTGTTTTGAGAAAGTATATGAATAACTAGAATCAGGTGTTCATAAAAAATATTTTCTAATGCTTTGCTAGAGATAATCTGCAAGGCATTAACTGTTTATCCTAATGGAAGTATTGTGCAGGTATCTAATAAAAACCAAGGTTGGTGAGAGTTGGCTGCTGCTTGCCTTCAGCCCTCTACTCCTCGGCAAAACTGCATTCCTGCTGTGTGACTATCCTTTGCATCCCTGGTGACAACACAACAGACCAGGCTTGGCTATACATTTGATAATGCCAATAGAGACCAGCATTGGTCAAGGGCAGGAAAGCAACTTTAATCAGCATGGCTGTACTTGGAATCACAAAGAGGTTCAAGATCTATTTTTAAGGGGTTGATGGAAGCTTTGAGGTTTTATATGAAGGGGAACAAAGGCAGGGGTAAGAGTTTGTACAGCTAATAATGTAAGTAATCCTGGTCAAACCTTGGTCTGGTTGATCAGTAACTTAGGCAGGACTGGAGTTGCGAAGTTCTGGGAGAACTGTAATTGCTTAGGAGGCAATTTGTTTCCCATCTTAAGATAACTATATTCCTGCTCAGGGTGGAGAGCCTTGGATTCTGTCACAGAATAACTCATCATGGAGTGGTCAATGAGGCTCTGCTTTTCCTGGAATTTGAAGTGATTAGAAGTTTAGGACACTCACTGGAGACTTCTAGGCATCATTCCAGGGACTCTGGCACTGGATGTTATAAAATCTGGCAATTGGCTTTCCCTGTAAATTCTGAAAATTATTTGAGTAACTTTATCTTGGTGCCTTCAGTTACTAGGCTCAGTAAATTTAAGACTGCCAAACCGTGTATTACAGACATTCCTGAAGCAATTAACATGTCTGCATGCAGAGCTGAGCAAGGATCTGACCCAAAGTTTTAAGTAATAAAGGAGACAGGCATAAAATGAAAAGAGATGATAAGCTTTAGCCTGCTTTTAGTTACTCATTGGGCATCTGCTGGTCTATCCTCTAGGTCACTGTAATATTACCATGTATGTCATCTCTGGCATAGCAGAGCATACAAAGGCATCTGTCAACTAGTGCATAAACTTTAGTTGTTTGTATGCCCTTCAAATTTTCCTTTAGGAACAGAATAACATTAACATTTTAAGGTGTTAAAAAAATTAAATTCCTCATTTACATTAAAAGTTGTGGATGAAAGTAGTTCAGTGACAACTGTAACTTAAAATGAAAACAGAATCTGCAAAAGTCAGCATAAAGATACACAGTATTGATATAAACTTGTGCCAATGGAGATACCAATGTAAACTTTGCATATTCTCTGTCCCTCAAAGGAAAGAGAGCAGGTGATTCCTCTAACGGAATTCTGTTCTCAACAGCAAGGTGAGTGTGTCTTACTTGCCTTCTTTTGGCTGGAAGTGCTGCTCCTCATTAGGCTATTAGCAGCAACATTATTCCCTGACTTTCTAGTCATTCACAGAATTACTTCCTGCCCTTGTTCCTTGCTTATGTGTACTCATCAGTTAATAACCTCTACCACAGATACAAGCCATCTACTATTTTTATGAATCTCAAAAGGTGGGAACTGGACTAACTCTGGTATGTTAAACTGCACTCTAAACTGAAAACACAAACCAGGTGTGGTGGTACACACCTGTAATCTCAGCACTTGGAAGGCTGAGGCAGGAGAATCACTGAAACTTCAAGGCCAGCATAGACTACAGAATGAGTTCAAGGCTAGCCTGAACTATAAAGCAAGACCCTGTCTCAAAAGAAACAACAAAACAAAACAAAAATCACAAAACAAAACAAAACATCCAGATGTTTGTATTTTCTGTGTCATGTAGTATCTATGTGGGCATGAATTTGATGAAAGAATCGTTAAGCTTATGGTTAAAAAAAAAAAAGCCATTATTCAAAGAGTACATACATAATACAGAAAAATTTCAGGCACTAAGCGGGTATGCTTTATTTGCAAATATCCATAAGGATTAAGTTTTAAACTCTTGTAAATCAATAAAACTGTTAATGGATAAGAGTCTTAGGTTGACATAAATCAAAATGTGGTGCACACATGAGCTCAGAACGAAAGGTCTTTAAAGAGCTGTCTATGGCTTTGCCTGGAGAAGTAAAGCATTATTTTGACATGTGCTCTTTCTTAGACAGAGGCAGAACATTTTAGTCTGGCTCCTGGTATGTAACCAACATGGCCAACACTGTATCTGTTTCCTTTGTGAGGCCCAGAAATAGCAGAGATAACAACTGGGATAATGAAAAGGAAACTCATCTCTGAGGATTACTTGGACAGGAAGAGTTTCATTAATGAAGTCTAGGAAGGACTAAAGATAGAGAAATAAAGTATCCAACAGACTAAATGAAGAACAGAAAGTTCACACTGGGCAAAAGCCAGGAAAATGAGCTGAATGCTATATATACATACATGAAAAAAGCACATACTCAAAGGTGCCTTTCCCCAAGCCTAAATAAATAAATAAATGGAATCCACATTTAGCAAATCTAAATCAATTATAGTTATCACCATGAGCAAAACAGAAGTACAACTGATAAAAAAAATGCAGAAAATCTTCTCAGTGTCTACTCAGTTATCTTATGTATTTATTTTCAGATTTGACACCTGAGGGAAAAATGCCTCCAGTTGACTAAAAAATAGTAATAAAAGACATTTAAATATGGAAAAGAACCCTCTTTTTTTTTGGTACCGGGGATTGAACTTGGGTCCTTGTGGTTGCAAGGCAGGCCACCGAACTGCTGAGCTAAATCTCCAGCCCGGAAAAGAACCTTCTAGTAATAAAAAAAAAGAGAAACATTTCAATTACGTTTTGGCTCCACATTTTAAGAAACAGTTTTAAAACCTCTGGCGTTAAACATGAGTCAACAAACTGCTGAAAAAAATGCTGGGAGCATTTTCTAATATTGTTTCTTGACAACTTACTTCGAATAGGTGCTGTAAGGGATTGGACTGAAGCTTTTCTTCATAGCCAAACAGTTGGAAGCCAGTCCCCAGAAGACCTACAATGATAATCAGTAAAGTATTAAAAAACAGAACAGTAGAAGAGTTCTATAGAGAGATTAGCTTCTAGATTACGTATCCTGAGAACAATTGCAAAACACATTTTTTAAACCTTGTTATCCTGTAAATTGACATAAGTCAATTTTAATATAATGAATCACACATTCAATACTATATACTGACTAGATCACTGAAATTAAGGTTCACAGAAAACAAAACCACAAGTTCATGAAAGGCAGGATCTGGGATTACTTTAATTTTGTACTAACAGTTTCCAACATCTCCCTCAAAGACCAGGAGGAAACACTTATTGAGCAGCTTTCCATGAGGCATTAGACAACTGTAATTTGTGAAAAAGAAAAATTTTTTTGGGGGTGATACTAGAGACTGTATCTAGGGCTTTTACCCCCGCCAAAATAAAGTACAGTTATCTGTTCAGAGTTGCAGATTCCATACTCAGATCAAACCAAAGACCAAAACTGTTTCCCAAAGAAATTATTCTGAATATACATATAACAAACATTTTTCATTATTATTCTCCAAAAACAATACAATAACTGGAACCTGGAATTGGTAGAGAACATGTGTCTCACTACCTCTCAAATGAACAATCACTCACTGTAAGGAAAACCCAGACAGTGACTTTTATCAGCCGGACACCTGTAAGGTAGGGAGAGGGCAATGTCTTCCACCTCTGTCCTTTAGGACGAGGGACTCCCTAGCAGGGAGGACACAATGAGATTAATGTTATGTTAATGAAGTTCTCCAAGACAGGTAATGATGGTCGACCAGGCTAGTTTTGCAACTAGCAGTCAAGTAGACAATTATATTGAGAAACTATGTTGTTCCTCTGAAACTTTAGAAAAATAAATACCTTAATAAGAGCCCAGTAATACTTACTTTCAGAAAATAATTTTTTCAATAACTAGGGATAATTAAAAGTAGAATACAAATAGCACTTCATTGGTTTGTTTTACGTATGTGAACAAAAAATTTCTGTACAGATTCAAATTTAAAAAAATCAGTTTCTGAAAGAATGGGAAAATAATTTTTTTGAGACAAGGTCTTGCTGAATCACTAAGTTGCCCTGGCTAGACTCAAGCCTGTGATCTTCCTGCCTTAGTCCCCCAGAGTGCTAGGATTACAGGCACATGCTTCTATACCCTACTGATTTGAACCTTTAAAAAAATACTAAATGTGATTTTTAAACTGGGGAAGGAAATCCCTAGCATGGACTAAATATTTATATTCTCAAGAAATTTTGCTAAAAGATAATCTACATTATATCAAATATCAAGCTTCAGATCTAAAGGGCCTTGTTGAAATACATTTATATACATTTTTCTACATAAGGCTCAGTAGAAAGTGGAATGCTACTAAACACAGGGATAAACAATGCTTTGAAATTTAAAGGATGAAGTTTTATTCACTTTCAAGCAAGAACAAATATGACTATGATTCAGGGTCCTGGGAACAGGGTATGGAATGATGTCCAGTGTGTTTTAAAACACAGAAATGGAAATAAGGCAATTCCATCTAACATTCATTCTAATACATGTTCAGAAACTAATTCTATGCTTTGGAACCATCTGCCAGTTTCAAATGGGGACAGCTGAAACAGCAAAATTACAATTCTTCAATAATGATGGCTATATTGGAAATGTTGACATATCATTAACCATAGTAGCCCTTTAGAGAAAAGTCACTATAATGAAATCCTGCAGCTAAAATTTAATGAATACCATAATCACATATTTGTCAAGGCCTATGAAAGGCCTAAATCAGTCAAACTATTAAGTCTAACTGTTGAGCCTAGAGCCTTAGACTACCAATTGTGAATTACAGGTGGACTTCTAGAATGCAGAGCATGTTTATGATTCTTCTACTGTGAATTGCAAGGGTACTGTTAACAGGTGCAAGTTCTGTCCTTTCCAGTGTCTGAAAAAAAATTTAACTGAAAAGAAAAACATCTATGAGCAGTCATGATAAATTCCCTATGATAAAATGGCCTTTCTTTGGAAATAATAATTTCACTTCACTAGCTGTGGAACAGAAATAATAACTTTAAAACTAGCAATGAATACTTACAGAAGTTTTAAAATATTACCTAGCCTTTCTTCTGGATTACTACTTTAGAATTAGAATTCAGCCTTTCTTTTGGATTATTATATTTGGATGAAAGATTTACTCATCATTCTATGTGTCTCTTATGTAAGAAGCATTATGGATACAGAAATAAGACACAGTTCAGGCTTTCAAGGAACGTATTATCTAGCAGGGAGAGACACACACAAAGAATATAATAAGACAAAAGCCTACTTGAGTAGAGCTGGCTTCTAGGAATATGGTGTCATGAGAAAGAGGGCAAGAGTATATCTACATGTCAGAAAATGTTTTACAGACATATTAGGGCTGATCCTCAAAAAATATAAAGATTTAGGGCCAGGGATTTAGCTCAGTGGTTCTGTCGCCTGCCTTGCAAGTGCAAAGTCCCGAGTTCAAAACCAAAAAAACCCCAAAAAACCCCCACAAAAAACAAACCCAAAACGCTGAAAAAGAATCAGAGCACAGCTGAGCTGCCTGGCAGCCAACCCAGGAGGAGTGGCTGGCTGGCGTCCGCCGCCACACCCAGGAGTTGGGGATGTCCTACAAACCCATCGGCCCTACCCACAGCAGCACCACCAGCTTTAGCACCTCTGGACCAGACAGCTGCAAGTGTGCCAGGAGCCTCTGCCGCTTTCGGAGTATTGTTTAATGACTTTGGACTGCATTCCATGGGCTATGTGCAGGCTATGAAGCCACCCAATCCCCAGGGCTCCCAGAGCATCTACACCAACTTGCTGTCAGTCACAGAAGAGATGGGCAAAGAGATCCGGCTTACCTATGCTGGTAGCAAGAGTGCCATGGAGCGCCTGAAGAGCAGCATCACCTAGGCCTGGGCCCTAATCAGAGTGCCCAGCGGAGACAGTGAAACGCCCACACGTAACAGGAAGCAGCTTGGCCTCAGCATCTGAACAAAACTTTCCGGCCACTGCAGAGCACCTGATTCTCCCTGGCTTTTGCCCCAAGTTGCACTTCCTATCCTGGGTTTCCTGTCCCTGTGTTCCTTGGTGGGTGCCCTCCAAAAACGAGGGAGCAGTTCTCACTCCAGTTGGCAGCACTAACTGAGTGCTCCCTCTGCAAGTTAGCAGTGGAGTCACTGTGAGTCCCATCCATGATCTGCCAACAGTGTTGATCCATCTGGAGCTTTCTCCTTTCTGTGGCCCCCACTACTCCATTCTTCTCACCACTTTGTCAGACCTCATCCCTCAAAGAGGTTCAGAAGGCCTGTCACCTCCCTGCTTTGTCTCCGGGACCATAATGACTCTTTTCTTGGTGTGTCTTTTGTTAAATATGCTCTTTTTATATTAATAAAAGATGATTTGGAGTTGTAAAAAATTATGTATATAACATAACACACATATAATATATATAGATTTCATATTTCACAAATACCAGTCCTTTACTATTACAACAGCTTCATTTATCGTGCCCTTCCAGTCCTGGATGACTCATTTATATGAGCTGGTAATAGTTCTGAGTAAACACATGACATGAGAGATAATTTGTGGTACTGTGCTCATCTGTCTGGATCTTATTCCTTTCTTCTTTCTCTTTTTGAACCCATCTACTATCACTGAACAGTTAAAGGGAAAATCAAAGTTTATTTTGTTTCTCCTCTGGGCCACTCATCCAGGTATGATAACAAATGCCATTCCATGTGGGGTGGCCTAACGAGCTAACCAGATTTTAAAAAGGCAAAGTGATATAAAAGAAAATAAAATGAACAGAAATGTCTTCTAAAAAAAAAATGGTGAGGTGGTAGTTGATAAAGGTGTATATAGCTGGACTTACTTCTCTGTATACTACCCTCTTCATTAAAACAATTGTGTGTGTATTTGTGTGTGTGTTTTCAGTGTTGCTATGAATGTGTGATGTTTCCTTCCCAAAACTTACTTGTGTGGTGAGAATTACACTTAATAAATAAAATAAGATTACAAGCTGATGATGTAGCTCAGTGGTAGAGTATATGAATACATGAGGTTCTGGATTCAATCTGCAACACCACAAGCAAAACAAAACAAAACAAAACAAAAACTAAAAACAAACAAAAAACACACAGCACACTATTTCACCCAATGTTGTTTTGCCTATACTTTGTTCAGATGACCAAATGACTTAACATTAAAAAAAATTTTCTCAGCAGCACTGCCCACCTTGCAAGCGCAAAGTCAAGATTTCAATCCCCATACCAAAAAAAAAAAAAAAAAAAAAAAAAAAAAAAAAAAAAAAAAAAAAAAAAAAAAAAAAAAAAAAAAAAAAAAAAAAAAAAAAAAAAAAAAAAAAAAAAAAAAAACTATAATAAAATGAAAAACATCTCACATGTACTTACCAAACTGCATGCCCCAATCTCCAAGGTAATTTATTCTTGTTACTTGATGTCCTAAAGCTTCTTTGAGATTTGCTATAAAATTTCCTAGTAATCAATAAAACATATTTTATTATTTTTGTTATTCATTTTGGCTTAAGAATCATGTTCTTCTCTAGTATAAAAGCATAACAAAAAGTTCACAAAGTTTACCAACTCAATTTTTAAAAAAATTAAACATTCATCTTTTTTCATCTGTTTTACATTATATACAGAATTTTTATTAGTATCAGGGAAAACATGCTATTTCTAGTCAATTCCAAGGACAGAATATAACAGAATCTTGGTAATTAATAAGAAATGTATAATTTGGTTGTACCCTAAGATTCTGAGACATCCTGTTCTGTTTTTGTTTTTCTAAATAGTTCTATCTCCTTTCAATCACCAAAGTCTATGCCTACTCCCTAAAGTACACAGAAGTCCAAGGCTTTCACCGTCCTGTACTGCTGACTCGAGTCAGATATTCAATTTCCAATGTACTCTCCTTCCTAATGAGCCCTCATATACTACAGAGGCTGGAAACCTGAAAAGTTTATTTCCCAGAGTCTCCTGTGGTTATGGTTCCAGAGGTCAGTCTTCATAAGGCTGGGCAATCAGATATACTGCATGACTTTTGGGAAGGATGCTACATCTCTTTTTTTTTGTGTGAAGTTTTGGGCTGGGTTATATGTGTGTGTCTGTGCACACAAATAATCACGCACACACATGCACAGGTACTACTAACAGAGGTCTTAGTGTCTTGTCATGACCTCCAAAGGAAATGAAAGACTGTGCAGTCACCTGTCTTGCCTGTGTGGATTCCAGAAGACATAACATACAGTAGTGGCAGTTTTGAATTGTGGCTGGGGTGGTACAATTTCAAAGGAGAGGAAATGATGGCAGAAATGGCAGGGACTTCCTCGATAACCAAGTTCTATGGTGTATTTTTTGAAGTCATTTAATCTAAACCTTCTTCAGTCCCCCTCAGCCTTTGTAAACCATTCAATATTCCATAATAAATCTCTGCTTTAAGCAAGAGTAGATCATGTTTTCTGCAAATAAATCCTGATGCACGTAACTGATTTAAATTATTTTTTTTGTTGCCAGCTTTTGTATTTCTAAAAATTCCAAAACAAGAGTCTCAGCAGCAGGAAATACTTTCACCTTCTACTGAGACTATATGCCCCGTTTTCTTAGCATCTTGTTATCTCAAATCCATTTAAACTACTGAGCCTTTTGGAATTAAGACTCATTTCATATCTTGGCCAGAATACCTACTGTTCATGTTATCTTAGGAAAGATACTTCTGGTATATGAATTTCTTCATCAAACACTAAAGGTAACAGTACTTACTTATCCATCAGGGCTGTTATGACATTAAATGAAGTTAAAACATGAAAACACTGAGCATAAGTAAGATCATAATAAATACTATTTCTTCCTGGTCTAAACATTTCCCTTAACAACTATCAAAACAACTTTATTCTGCCCTGCCTACCATTTACTCACTCCTATACTTTGATTTATTCATGTAACTCTTCCTGTACAGTATACTTCATGTATTCTTTTTATCAAGTCTTATCTTCTCCTCTTAAAATTCCCCCCCAAGAACTTTTTAACAATGACAGCTGACCTCATTTCCATAATAATTTATTCTATAAGTACTCATTTTTCCAACTCTTGTATTTGAGTATAAATAACTTTGAGTTATGAAATAGATTTCTGCATTTGAAGACAGATTAAATGAGATAAACTTCAAAGTCCTTTCCAACTCTAATATTATACAATTACAGTTAGGATTTTAAATTGGACTGCTGCAAAATGTAATGTTTTAAATAAATGAAAAATTTATTATAACAGAAGCATTACAATTATGAAGTAGCATAAAGTAACCTCTCTTTATTAGAATGCCTTGTTTTCATTTCCAGTCTTGAACATTACAATTATTGCTCACAATACTGTTTTCTTTTTTAATATAAAATCTATGAACAACAAAACCAACTCAGAGAGCTGCCATTATTCCCACACAACTACTTTTATTTTTGCATTAGTTCTTCTACATATGCATACACACTTCTGGAAAGTTAAAAATCATAACATACCAGTTAAAACAGATTTCTGAATATTTGGTTTTGAAATTTCATCTTTAAATTTCTAAAGCAAATTTTTCCATTTCAAGTAACATTTAATTAGCATTACTCATATCAGTGTAGGCCTTGTGTGTTTTTTCTGTCCTTTTGTTATTTTAAAATTAAGCTATTACACTGTATTATCCTATACTACCCCAAAGAGATGTTTACATATTTTCTGTGAAGGTAAACACTTACCAATGATAGTAGAACGCAAATGTCCAACATGAAATTTTTTGGCAATATTAGGTGAACTGCAAGAAATTGCAAAGGTTACTTTTTTATTCTAAAAACAAGAGTTCTAAGAATTAACAAAAAACAAAACTGAGTGTCTCATCAAGTTTCTTTTGATTTAATGTCAAGTAATCTCTCTTTCTCTCTCCCTCCCTCCCT